GGAAAGAGTCCCATGATTTGTCATGTTAGGAACATACAACACAGGTTTGAATTTGTGTACCATATTGTTATCAACCATGTCGGAGAAGTCAAGAACAGCCACATCCCTGCTTGGATGGAGATTAATGATTTCAAGTGGGCATTGCACCTATGGAACCAAAAGAGGGAAAAAAAAATTAAAATAGAAAGCAATAGTTCACAGTACCAATGGTTTCTGACCTTGTTGTACTAGTGAGAGCTCCATCTTCAAATGAGTAGTAGGCAATATTAAAGTGTGAACAAGGGACAAAGGGAGAAGTATTCTTGTTCCCCAAGAAAAGAACCAGACACCCATGATAAGCTCTACACTCTGCTTTAAACTCCAATCTGTTGTAAATGCATAAATATACAAAAAGCTAACACCAGAAATCAACTATAAGCTCGAACCTAACTTAAAAGGTCAATAGTAGAGAACTCTCTATGTAAACTATACACATATACAGTATAAATCATAATAAAAACTACCCAAGCTTCAATAATATTGGAGAAAAATGAAGAAAAAACCTGAACGTGAGGATCCTCATATAGAACACCACTATCCTTCAGCACAAAGAACGAAACCTTTCAGCAATATCTCTAATGGCCAGACATCCAAAACGTGAAATTTGTTATTTTTCAATACATAAAATTTGTGTTGAATGGAGAAATGGAGTCTATAAGGGAAGACACTAAATCAAGTACAGAAGTTTTGGCATAAAAATTAACAATGTGGTCCATCCTGAATCTTAATTATTTGTGCGGAAGAAAATGAAAGTGATACATAAATATATGGCCCTAGTGACTACTAATCTACAAAATTGAATGGAATGGAACCTTCCATGGCTGATAGGGATACAATGGGTAAAGCCAGAAACTTCCTAGTTGTTATTTTGCTACTTAAGTGCTAGTTTAGTTAATAGCCACCAAACAGCCATTGGTGATGCGGAAATTGCTTTTGTAGTTTGTACAGTACCCCATGCTTGTTTGGCTAATTTTTGTGGTAGAGAAAATCAATTCTGCAGTGGGTAGAATTCTGGGTGTGATTTTGGATTATCTTATTTATATTCCAAAAGCATATCTACTTTACCAATCAAAAATCAATTTTTCTCAATTCAGTTTTAAACATCATACATAAATACAAATCAATTTTTTCAAATTCAATTCTACCAAAATTTAAATCAAATGGATCCTAAATCAATGAAAAAACCTGCACATAAATGGCCTGCTCTCAGCAGGTACTATGGCATATAGGGATCCAGTTGCAGCCCCTTACAGACCCCTCGATGTGAATCACATTCCCCTAGGATGTACAATTGTGAACTATGGACAAAAGAAAGAAAGAACTTTCAGACACCAAATGCACCATGCACACCCTATAAAAGAGTCATCTATCTGTGTCAAGAATAGTAGAAACAACTGGCTACAGAAATAACCAAATGCATACAAATCCCTACATGTCTGTGGATATAATGAGAACATTACACCACAAATGAGGTGTTATTAAAGTAACGAGAGTTATATGAGTTTGCAAAGATCATCTACTCAAACAGTTGTAAACTGTAAATTTATTTCTCAAGGAAGAATAACAAAGTAGCAAGACTTTTGTAATTTAACAAATGCACATGTTAGCATCTGAAAAATCTCAAATACAATCACATTCAGATAACTTCTCCAAAGTGTGATCCTTAAATTACATATGTTGGGACAATAATAGCAAATAAATAAAATTGTAGAGTAAAAACTTGCCAGTTTATAATGAAATATTCATCACATTCCATGGCCATATTCCTAGGTGAATGTTTTCAGTTCAGATGCAAAAATAGAATATGGCAATATACAAAGGGAAAAGTCCTCCTTTCTCTAGGGCTTACATTAAGATACTATGAGAGGGACAGTAGTACTGCACAAATAATAAATGATATTACATGAAGACAACAGCAGGTCTAAGAAAAGGTTGACAATTTTTCCATTAGCATACCATGGTCAATGCCAGGCACTGGAACATTTCATTGCGACCAATGATAACTATGCACCCTGTATTTATTGCCAATCTCAGAAAGTCGTGATTTTCATTGATCAAAGATGAAGTGCCTATGTACCCAACCTGTAGTCAGTTATCACAAAATTAGAATTCCTTCACCTCAAATATATATTTGGATCTCATAAGAATTTGGGGGTAGGATAGCAACAAGTCGTTATAGAGAGGTGTCAAGAAAGGATAAGAGTTTACCTGCTTTTCTGGATGCTTAGGAGCAGATATTAGAGAAACAGCTTCCATGTGACCAAAATCCACATCAGAGCCAAGCATAAATACGTAAAGCATTTTCCACGCATGTTCTTTTTCTCATATGGTGTCAAGCCCTAAATACAGAATGAAAAAGGATAAAATTGGTAAACATAAGTTGTTTTGATTGCAGCAAGCAATGATGGGTAATAATAGTTACGAAGATTTTTTCATTTGCAACAAAAAATTAAAAGATCAGAAGCAGTCTTACTTGCAAATGATAAAAAACTGTCTTGTCAGAGTAATGCCCAACAGTTTCCAAAATGAAACTTCACAATCCCCACCCACCATGTGAACAAAGCCCCAAAGTTAGAGAAAAAGTAATCAATCAGCATTCAGCAATTAGTATGGTCCCTTGAAGTTAGCCCAGAAATTAACTGTTACTACTTGCAAAACATTTAACTGAATCTCCTGAAACTAGAAGGCATTGACCTTCTAGTATACCAAAAACAACACAACTCATGCGCAGTGGCAGACAAATAAAATCTTAGAGGCATCACCAATAAAAATTTTCAATCAGAGTTTTAGGAACCATTTACAAGTTCAAACAATTTTAGCAGCCAACATTAACTAAACTAAGAGTCCATTTGGGTAAACAACTTAGAGACATCATCAATAAAAAAAATTCAATCAGAGTTTTAGGAACCATTTACAGGCTCACCAAACAATTCTAGCAGTCAACATTAACTACACTAAGAGTCCCTTTGAGTAAACAACTTAACTAAGCACTTATTGAATAAATAAGTACTTATCATGTAAACACTTTTGGATAAGAGTCTGGTTGGGTATAAGCTTAGAAGCACTTTTGAGAAGTTTTCTACTAAAAAATACTCTTTATAATTGAAGTGGAAATGTGGTTAAATTGTTTTCATACATAGGCTGTTTTCATAAGTTATCACGGAGAACTTATTGAAATATGATTAAAAAAAAAAACATAAGAACATCTCATAAGCTAGTTTCATAAGCTTTTGCATAAGATATATGTTGTAAATAATTTATTCCAAATAACCTAAACACAAACTATTATAGTAAATAATTAATACTTGCCATTCCATATCAAGTTGAATTAAACAGCCAAAGAGACACAAGTGAATATTCAACCAAATCATGGACCTAACAGTACAAACTCCACAATGCCCAACGCAAGTTAACACGAGTGCACTTGTCTCGCACAAGTACACACATACGTACACGTGATTGTTCACCGAACAGTGACTTTCCTATTCAAGTCTCGCACACATACATGTTTCGAACATTGAAAAACAAGCTCCAACAACAATTTCGAGCGCGAACGACGACGCACATGGACCGCACAAACTCGGAAACTCAAATTCCATTCCAGCGTCGCACATTGCGGGAAAGATCAAACGCACGATTCGCGAATGCGAGAGAGAAACCCTAACCTTCTCGGTTTTGAAGCGCGTTCGGATGTTCCGAGTTCCTTGTCGACGCGGAGCGTCTCCTGTTCACTGTTCTGGCAATTGCGGATGTCGCCGATGAAGACGGAGAGACCTCTTATGCCGGAGAACGCCATCTCCGGTCAGATCCGCCGCCGTCTCCCCCTTCTACAGCCGCGCGTGGATCCGTCAACACAATTCGAGTTCGACGAGATTCAGATTCAGATTCAGCTCCGATTCCGAAAGGAAAATGCGCAGAGAAAGTGAGATGGAAAGAAAAAAGAGAGCGCGCGCGCGAGAGAGAGAGAAAGGAGCGAGTGAGGATCGAAACTCAAAAACCCGTTAAGCGGTGCTGGTGTGACCCATGTTAACCGATTATTACTGTTACTATTACTGTAACATTACTGTAACATATGCAATTTTGCTTCCTCATCGTTATTATATTCCCTAACCTAACTTTTTTTTTTAATTTTTTTTAATAGGAGAGGTGCAAATTAATGGTTCATTATTATTTTTCCGAAATCTGAATATCTTGTTCCGTTTTCTTGCATCGCAATTAATTTATTATTATTCTTTCCATGGTTCAAGTCGGGCTCAATTAGGAGTGGTAAAACGGGTCACTCCTATCCATTTTGGCCAGGCCCGCCAATGGTCTACCAACAATGGGTTGGGCTGAGTCGGTCCACCATTGAAAAGTTAGAAATGTTTGTTCACCTTGCCTAAATGCAAGTTAGCCAGCTAACCTGCATTACACTAAAAAATTGTCAATGGGTTGACGGACATGACATGACGAATTTGAAGATTGACAGGTTGGAACGATGAGTCCAATCTACTAATTTTTGGTAGGCCAATGAGCTAATTATTGAGTCACGATCCATTTTATCATTCCTGAATTTTAGGTAATATCTTGATTGTGATTAAGAAAAAACTACACAAAACGAGTTGGGCTGAGTCGGTCCACCATTGAAAAGTTAGAAATGTTTGTCCACCTTGCCTAAATGCAAGTTAGCGAGCTAACCTGCATTACACAAAAAAATTGTCAATGGGTTGACGGGCATGACATGACGGATTTGAAGATTGACAGATTGGAATGAAGAGTCCAATCTACTAATTTTTGGTAGGCCAATGAGCTAATTCTTGAGTCACAATCCATTTTATCACTCCTAAATTCTAGGTAATATCTTGATTGTGATTAAGAAAAAACTACACAAAACTTAATCCAAATTCAATTTTAACCTTAGTATTACACAAAATATTCTAATTACAGCAAACTAATAAGTTATTATTCAATTATTAGAGTTTATTGTGAGTTATTTAGTAATGAAATTAATTTTTAATTATCGGTTATAAAATAAATCGAGATTTAATAGATTTATTATAATATGTATTTATTAAATCTCTTTATTTTTCCCTTAGTTTTGGACTTTTTAGATAAAATGGAATGAAATGATCTTGTGGTTTTCTTGTCAATCTTTCTATTTTTAAACGATAAAAAAAAAAAAAAAAAAAACTTGAAGTTAATTTATCGTGAGTTATTTAAACAATAGTGTAGAAATTTTATTTTATCTTATACTATTCTTTTTCATCCTACCATTCATTAAATAAGTATTTGCATTTTTTATTTAAAAATTAATTTAAACAAGTTAGAATGTCTGGGTGAATGAAAAGTAATGATGTACTTGAACGTTAAAAATTTATGTTATTTACTATATTAGACTATCTGCACTGAGTTTTTTAACATCGTGTTCATAGTTAGACTAAAAGTCTGTTTTATAAGTTTAGAATTGTTTTTGATATAACTATAAAAGGGTTATTAAATTTATATTTAAATAGGTTTTAACTCCTTTCTTGAATAATAAACTATAAACTATGATATTGCTGCAAACGACATTAGTCTGCAGGCAACATGGCAAAGAAAGGGAGTATTGTGTGCATTACTACTGCCATACTTTTATTACAGACTTTTTGGTTTCCATCAACTGAATAAAAAAAAAAAAAGATTGATTTCATGAAATTTCAACCCATATAAAATCTTAAAATATGAGAAAAATGCGCAAATAGCATCATTTATGCCTAAGAGTATGCCCGGTAATAGAAAATGAATTTGATAGCAAAATAAGACTATATAGCAAGTCAAAACTTGCTTACATATTGCTATATTAATGACAATAATGATAGGAAAAAATTGCTTACATGTTGTGTAGGCCATTTCAACAAGTGGGGCCTTCTTTGTAATAATTGATGTTTCAGGTGTGTTTGTTTTGCAATTACAATCAACAAATACATTATTTGCTTATTGGAAAGTGAAAGAAAAAAAGTCCATTTAACAGGTGAACGATTTTTCAAATACACTTCAAGAGGCAAGTTAACTAATTCTCTTGATATTCGAACAATGAATAGGAGAGAAACATTTATGAGAACAAGAAACTGTTTAAGCAAATTAGGAAAATGGCATTAATCCCGTAACATCGTCTCTGTACCTCCCCATTTTAGATTGAATTGTATGATGACTGCGTTATTGTTTTTTAGTTTTTTCTTTCTGATTGCCTCTTTGATTTAAGACCCAAGAGTTATGAATTCTCTAAAATTTAGATTGAATTCTAGGCTTAAATTCCAAACAAGTCACCAGATTGTTAGAGATTTCACATCATCAAGTGAAATATTCATATTAGTAAAATAGTATTAAAGTGTATCATAGATTCATTCTAAAATATGAGTTATGGGTTTAAAGTTCTATAACTCTTATTTAGATCAAAGGAAAGTAAGAGAGTGATTAAAATTTTTGTTTAATTGAGAGGAGAGTAACTCTTTTTTTATTTAGCTCTCAAGAAGAGGAAATGAGTTTTAAAAACTAATTTATCTTTGGAGTTTTATAATTTTAAAATTAAAAATAAAAAAAAATATTTTTAGATATTATACTAAAAATGTTTTAAAATCTCTCTTTAGGTTAAAATTGGATGAAGAAGAATTTGTTTCTTTCATTCGAATCATTCCCCTCTTTTTTTTAGAATAAAAATTCAATCAAGCAAAAAAACAATTATAAAAATTCTCTCCCTTCTCTCTTCTCCTTCCATTCTCCTCTAATCAAACACCAAGTAAACAAGATTGTATTATAGATTCAAGTAGGAAGAAAATTGATATTTTAGCCATTAGAATTATTTTATCCTCCTTATTAGCTTTGGCGTATCACAAATTCACAATTATTGAACATCAGACTCACAAATACCGATCAAGCCACATATTAAAACTAACTAATTATATATCCAAGATTTTAAGTATCTATGCAAGTCTCCCAATATATAATAGGAATGTCTCACAAATACTGCGAATATGTAACAGCCCAAGCAACCCGCATGAGGATATTGTCCGCTTTGGCCCACGGCCTCACGGCTTTGTTCTCGGGAATGGCCAACACCACCCCAAAACGCGTCCTCCAAGGCAAGTCCTGCCAACCCCATCAGAGTAGCGCAGCGACCCCACATGGCCAGATATTGTCCCCTTTGCCCTCAGGCCTCAGGGTTTTGTTCTAGGCAATGCCCTCATGGCATCCCTAAACGCGTCCTCAAGAGTAAGGTATCCACACCCATATATATGGCATGCTTCGTTCACCTTACTAGCCGATGTGGGACTTCACAATCCACCCCCCCTCGGGGAGTCCAGCGCCCTCGCTGGCACACCTGCCCGGGTCCCGGCTCTGATACCAAATGTAACAGCCCAAGCAACCCGCATGAGGATATTGTCCGCTTTGGCCCACGGCCTCACGGCTTTGTTCTCGGGAATGGCCAACACCACCCCAAAACGCGTCTTCCAAGGCAAGTCCTGCCAACCCCATCAGAGTAGCGCAGCGACCCCACATGGCCAGATATTGTCCCCTTTGCCCTCAGGCCTCAGGGTTTTGTTCTAGGCAATGCCCTCATGGCATCCCTAAACGCGTCTTCAAGAGTAAGGTATCCACACCCATATATATGGCATGCTTCGTTCACCTTACTAGCCGATGTGGGACTTCACAGAATAAGTCTTTTAAGACAATACTCAGCATACCTCAATAAATTTACTACACTAACCTCTACTAAGATAATTAATATTCTTCACCAAAATAAGTAAAATTAACATCTAATAAGTTAATTCCTAAATATGTAGATTAACTCCTATATATTTATTGGTATAAAAAAAAACTCCTATGTATATTTACCAATTTAATATTATTTTATGGATATATTGACTCTCCTAAATATGATAGAAGGCGAGAATAAATATGAGAATGCGAAGATTTTGGATTAATGAAGTGCTTAGAGTTTATCATTAATAAAAATACCGAGTAAGTATGATTCATAGCCATGTACTCCAGTACTATTTCGGTATCGAGAATCATCGTTAGAGCACCCTTAATGATACAATGCTAAAAGAATCTAGTATTACTCATGGCCTAGAATATTCAATAAGTGTAACTTGTCTTCCTATACCTATTTGTCCCTGTATATAGAGTGTGGTGCTACAGACATAAATTTCACACTCCACGTTATGATCCCATAAAATTGCGCCTTATTATGAACTTGTAAGTTTTGGTGTTAATGGTCGTTATCTTGCCTATCTCGCGGATTGCGTGGTCCTATTAATTGTCTGAGTGGACAATTGAATCGCCCCTTATCTAAGTCCTCATACATATAATTTAAGGCATTCTCAACATACAACATTTATCATTTATCCGAGAGCACCTTTCAGGTTAGAAAGAATATAAGAGTATTTTTTTTATATATATTTTAAAGGGTATAATGGTCTACTAAAAAGTGGAGACCAAAGGAGTGGTTACCAAAATATATCCCCTTTATAATAGTTATATATATCTTTACTGCGTGTAACCCATGGTCAACCTAATCAGGTTGAGAATGTACTTGTGAATTTGAATAAGCAGTGTATGTCAAAATTAGCCAACACAAACGGGAGACTCCAATTGTTGATAATAATTTTACCTGATGTAAAGGGGTCTTATGGTGAGTGTCTTCTCAATTCAAATTGAACACTCTGATTTGGTTATATCATTTCTAAACTTTTTTTGTATTGGCAGGAAAAATAAAGCGTATTTGTGAAACTGAACTAGGAATAGTATCTCAGTGTTGTCAGCCAAGACAAATTGTAAAGTCGTCGAACAAACAATATCTTGAAAATGTGGCCCTCAAGATAAATGTTAAGGTTGAAGTTATCCAATGAATAACCCTCAGTTTCGCTTATTGATTTGGTTTCTACTAAATTGTAAACCTGTCATCGTTGATTATTCAGGTTGGTGGTAGTAACACAGTGCTGAATGATGCAATTGCAAAGCAAATCCCTCACGTGTCTGATAAAGCAACATTGATCTTGGGTGCGGATGTAACACATCCACAGCCAGGGGAAGACTCTAGCCCTTCTATTGCTGCAGTAAGCTCACTTTTCAGCCCTCTATGCAAGCATTATATTGTGCACCACTTTTAATCTGTTAAATTGTTGAATGTGTTGGTTTAGGTTGTGGGATGCATGGATTGGCCTTTTGTTACCAAGTACAGAGGAGTTGTTTCTGCCCAGCCACATCGGGAGGAAATCATTCAAGATCTTTTTAAATCATATCATGATCCGAATAGGGGAGCTGTGTATTCAGGAATAATCAGGTACTGGGTACTAATGTGCTATTGCCACTTATCAAGAGAAATCCTATTAATTTGGGTACCTCTTTTATTGTAGGGATTTACTTATGGCATTTCGACGTTCAACTAACATGAAGCCAGACAGGATTATATTCTACAGGTTGGATTTGGTTTAATTTTAATTTTACATTTTTTGCTTGTTTTTTGTACATATTTTATTCTGTAATTTATCAATTTGTCTACAGAGATGGCGTAAGCGAGGGCCAATTTAGTCAGGTTTTGCTTCATGAGATGGATGCTATTAGAAAGGTATGACTCGTTGTAGGTTTGCTTCCTACTTGAGGATAGCAGTGTATTTTATATCTAGTTAACAACATAACTGATGGTCAAGCACCCCATACTGAAGAAGAAATCCTCGAACTTGCTGCTTTTTGTTTATCCTCTATGTACTTGCTTTGTGACTTTCAATAAGTTCCTTGCTGCTCCTCTCATTTATTTTTCCGTCTTGATGAACGATAAATTTCTTGTTTCAGGCTTGTGGTTCACTTCAGGCGGAGTATTTCCCTCCTGTTACTTTTGTGGTTGTCCAGAAAAGACACCACACACGCTTGTTTCCTTTTGAACACGAACGTCGTGATCAGACAGACAGAAGTGGAAATATAATGCCAGGTTATGTATCTTTCAGCTGTTTCACATTTGGGAAGTTGCCTCCTCTAACCCCTCCTTTCTCAGTTTTACTGATTTCAAACATTTTCTTTTTGATTTTTCTATTTTTAAAGGGACGGTTGTTGACACATCCATTTGCCACCCTCGGGAGTTTGATTTTTACCTCAATAGTCATGCTGGAATTCAAGTATTATGCATTCTTGCTAAGATTGATCAACTTTTGTTTGTCGTTTTTTTTTCCCTCATTTTTCGATTGCTCCATTCATATTTCGCAGGGAACTAGTCGTCCGACTCATTATCACGTGTTGTATGATGAAAATAATTTCACCGCAGATGAGTTGCAGAATTTTACAAATAGTTTATGTTATACGTAATTCTTCTTCTATGCCTATGCTATTGCTTTTGCTTTTGTTATCGCTACTATTTTATTTCTGTTGTCATTACTCCTATTGCTTTTTGAAGTTAATACATTTACATGTTATGTTTCAGCTACGCAAGATGCACCCGATCAGTTTCAATAGGTTTGATTCTATTTTTTGTATTGTCCATGTCTTTGTCGTATATAAGTTCAGGTGAATGATTCATTCTTTATTTGCAGTTCCTCCCGCGTACTACGCGCACTTGGCTGCATTTCGTGCACGTTACTATATAGAAGGCCAATTATCCGACGCCGATTCATCAACTGAAACTGGAGGTAGAAGAGCAAACTTTCAGGTTGTATTGCCATCTGTCAAGGACAACGTGGCAGATGTTATGTTTTTCTGCTGAATGCATGCGGAAGCGGAAGCAGCTTTTGCTTATCAAGAAACATGCTTTTTTGATGTAGAATCCATGGTGTTATTCAGCATCTGATCCGCATCTTTTTTTGGGCCTATAGTCATTTTGCTATTTTAATTTTGTCTTACACCAAAGTACTGTTTGCTCTTGGTCCAAATATTGTCCTCGTTGCTACAGCAATTTGATGCAACTTTTGCTGCTTGGATTATGGATGTGAGTTTAATCTGAGTAGATAGTTCACAAATGTGTATCAAATGAGAAATGGAACTCTTCTACATGTCTACTTAACAGTTACTATTCTCCTAGTTACCAATCAATGAAATACTTATTAATAGTATATTTTTATGCAATGAAGCAGTTATTAGGTAATACTATACTGAATGAATGAATATGACGTTAAAACCGAATTTAAAAAATTGAGCTCTAAATTTATGTTTCGGAATTTAATTAATAAATGTTAATTTCACCGCAGATGAGTTGCAGAATTTTACAAATAGTTTATGTTATACGTAATTCTTCTTCTATGCCTATGCTATTGCTTTTGCTTTTGTTATCGCTACTATTTTATTTCTGTTGTCATTACTCCTATTGCTTTTTGAAGTTAATACATTTACATGTTATGTTTCAGCTACGCAAGATGCACCCGATCAGTTTCAATAGGTTTGATTCTATTTTTTGTATTGTCCATGTCTTTGTCGTATATAAGTTCAGGTGAATGATTCATTCTTTATTTGCAGTTCCTCCCGCGTACTACGCGCACTTGGCTGCATTTCGTGCACGTTACTATATAGAAGGCCAATTATCCGACGCCGATTCATCAACTGAAACTGGAGGTAGAAGAGCAAACTTTCAGGTTGTATTGCCATCTCAACTCAACATTTATTTATGGGAATAATATATTTAAGAATTAACGAAGAGAATGACTTTCCGGATATTTTTTATATATAAGTTGGATTAATAAAGATATTATTTATTTTAATGAAATTGAGTGCGAAAAAAATTAAAATGAATAAAAACAAAATTTTAGTTGTTACATCATGGCATTCAATTAACACACTCTCTTTTGAGAATGTTTTATGTTAAAGAATAAGATTTATATATTTATTAATTTCAAAAAATATTCTTTAATATGACAATATATATATATATATATATATATATATATATATATTCTTTGTTTATATATTCACTTTAATTTTACACATAAATACATGTCATAGAAAATTAGTGTAATGCGAAAAAGAAAATTTATATGCTTAAAAAAAGTGTTTGAGTGGACTTGGGCAATGTTGTCAAGATCATAATCTTCTAAAGAAAGCATAAGATGATAGTTAACTGTGATAAACTTTAATTTATAAACAAGGGCATTAATGTTTTTAACATATATTAGAAGCGATACATTTATGTCAAAAGTAAATCTATTTAGATTTCGTTTAATAACTTTATATCAAATTTTAACGACAGTTAAATTTAAAATATTTAATATATAGATTAAGTTTATAAGTTTTTTTTAAAATTTGAAACTATTTGATACTTTGTTTCATTAATTCAAATTGATGGATAATCATAAAATCATTTTATATGTTGATTTTAATTAATAAACAAAAATATCAAATAGTTTTTAAATTTTTTTAAAATTTGTAATCTTGATTTATGCATTAAAAACTTTAAATTTAACGGTTAAATTGTTAAAATTTGATGTATAACATAAATTATTAAATAAAATAAATCTAGTATATATATATATATATATTATTTTTTATTTTTTGGTAAAGATAGGAAAGATTACAAAGATGATCGCAATGAAGATTAAACCTAGATCCTCATGCTTCTAACTATCCCAACCCCTCTCCACCTAACCCTAGGTTAGTCAGATCGGAAGTTGGTTATTGATGTGACGGCCTAGGGCGGGTCGTTACATCAACCAATGGGATACCACCATAGTACATAACCCTTTAAGCTCGAGCACGGAGGTGTGAAGAGTCTACATTTGCTTAGAATTTTGTCAAGGCACTTTTTGGATCGGCTATTGGGAGACCGTAATTGTACAAAGCCCTAAAAGCTTAAGCATGAAGGTACAAAGAGTCTTATATCAATTTGGAAATTTGCCAAGGCACCTTTATGGTCGGCCAACAAGAGACCATCACAATATAAAGCCCTTCAGGCTCAAGCACAGAGGTACAAAGAGTCTACATTGACTCAGATTTTTGTCAATGTGCTCTTTAGGTCAGACAACAAGAGACCACCACAACACAAAGCCCTTTAAACTCGAGCACAAAGGTATGAAGAGTTTATGTTGACTCGAAATTTTGCTGATGCACCCTAGTAAGTCAACAGGAGACCACACGACACAAGTACAAATATGTTCCTAAAATAATATATTTTATATTTTTCAAGAAATTATTAATTATGTATAATAATTATAATCTTGATCGATCTCTACCTAATACATTAAAGGAGTTTTACTAAACTGTTCTTGTAAACTGAAATTAGAAAAATGTTAACATGTCCTAAAAGTATTGGTTAAGAAAACAAAAAATTATCAAGAAGTGTAAAAGTGTTTTAATCAGTATTCATAGCTAAACGTATTAAAAAAAACATATCACATACATATTGATGGAGGAAAAACTTATAATTTCTCCTAACCTACCAAAGAAATGAACCAATATGGTTTTGCTCAATCTTGTGTACTGGCCCATGTTAGTGTCACTAGCAAGTAATAAGTTCCCAAACAATAAAGTAAATACTCTTTTTTTCATGTATTGTACTATTTTATTTTAGACAAATTAAAAAAAGTTAATATTATATATCAAATAAAAGAGAATACTAATTTTATGAAATTTTATTGTTAATTTTTTTACTAAAAGCAATGCAATTTTATAAAAAAATATTATTAGGAATATAAATATATACATAAAATAAAAAATTACACCAAGCAAAAAAATGCTAATTCGTCGCCTGAGAGATTCGAACTCTCGCGGGGAAACCCCATGTACTTAGCAGGCACACGCCTTAACCACTCGGCCAAAGCGACATTGCTGGTTGTTAAACAGAAAATGTAATATATATATAAAAAGATATATATTGAAAAATGATCCTCGATTCCTTCTGCACATCTATAACATATTAATATTCTTAATCGTTCAAAGAATTTACACTATAGTTTAATCATTGTGTAAGTTCCTTATGACTATAAAAATAAATTGTATAATGGAGTATTTTAATCCTAGGATAAGAAAGTCACATGCATAAATGAGCTAGTGTCACAACAACTGTATAAACTGACGACAAAACAAAATGCAAAACTGAGCTGTTGAGAACATGGGATGGTTGGCAAATTGTATTATCTAAACATATATAATTATGCCTCTTTTAGGTTATATGAAAATAATTATGATATTGGCATATTGCCATCAAACATATACTGTTGCTTGTCATTTATGAGAATGTTCATTCAAAAGGACATACTATTAAGCAACAATTCTATAAACAATTTTTAGAGATCTCAACCAAATTAGTTATTCACCTTCTTTGAAAAGCGGGCGTTTCAAGAAATTTTAGGACCAATAAGACAAAATTATTAGGGAGATTTTTGATGTAATATAAATTATTAATTTCTTAGTTTTTTGAACTGAAAAATAATTTATCAAAGCTTTTGTAGTAACTTCAATATTCTAATAACCAATTCATTTAATTTATCTTATAATTAGTATTTTAATTTGTACAAAGTATAGGGTATAAAATAAATATTTATTTTTGTTTTAATATACCTAAAAGTCTCGTATCGTTTAAAAATTAAGAATAATGATAATTTATATAAATAACCTTACTCCTTAACCCACTAAAATACCTCTTTAAAGATAAAATTATGACGGCCTAACAAGCGTTAAAGGGATAATATCTCAAACATCATAACCCTAATGATGTTAAAAAACTTATAGTCAGAACAATGATGCTAAAAGGAGGACTCAGATCACTCTTGCCATTTAGTCTCGGCTAGAAAACGTATTCTGGTATTGCTTAAAAGTCTCACATCACTTAGGAATTGAGATTAAAGGTAGTTTATAAACATTTTTTTCTCTTTAACCCCTTAAGGCACATTTTTAATATCTTAAAGTCTCGCATCATTTGGGAATTGAGATTAAGGATAATTTATAAACATCATCCCTCCTTAATGTATTAAAATATTTTTTTAAAGACAAAATTGTAACGGTCCAATAGTCTTAATCGATATTGGCAAACTTAGGTTAAAACAATTTTATACCATAAAAATGTATAATAAATAAATCATACTAATATTTTAGTTTGTATATGATATAAATATTTATTTTATAAAGTAAAATTTGTAATAAATAAATATTTTTGAATATATAAATTATATTTTAAATTTGAGACAAATAATTTATATTATTATATGAGATTAATTTTAATTATTGATATTTTCTTTAATAAATACTGAAATTAAATTTATAAATAAAGGTGATAAGTATAAATCAAAAGAAATAAGATGTGAAGAAAATTTTCTAAGAGAATCCTTATTGAATAATAACTTCTAAAAATATTACCATACGATATAACTATTATAATTTATATTTATATTTATACTTATACTATGATATAGATTTTTTTTTAATTATTGATCAACTTTTTAAATTATTAAAATTCAACTTCAAAATAAATGAAAAGAATAAATTAAAAAAGATAAGAAGTTATAAAAATCATAAAAAATTATTATTGAAGGAAAACTTTTAAAAATATTCTTATTCAAAACAATTCCTCATATAAAAAGAACATTGTTGATAAATTTCTTCTAAGCACATACCTTTTATGAGAGGACAAAATGCTTCAATCTGAAAGATGAAATGCTTCAAGGACAAAATATAGTAGAGTCTCTTCTCCTCTACCACAAAATGTTGTGAGATGAAGACAATAATTTGATATATGCTGTTCATACTTCAAACTTCAAAGGTACCAAATTGATGTATTTTTTGGGAGATAGATCCAGTAGATACACGGGAAGAAAAAATGGTCACTACCTACTCACGTCTTAACATGTCATCTTGACACTTAAATTGGCCTCATTATCGGAGGGGGCCTAATCAGATGAATGTGACAAAAAGTTAAGAACTATTTATTATTTTACAATTTTTGAAGGACCATGTAGTAGAGATCTATATAACGACCAAATTGATAGTTCCTCGAATCACTTTTGTCTCCCTCCATATCTCTGACCTTGCTTTCTTCTTTTTCCTTTTCGGTTATTAAAATATGTAAACCTTTTAGCTTAGTACAACGACTTCGCCAAATGCATGAATCATGATCCAACGGATGAATGTCTTTCGTTTTGGTTTAGACAAGATTACCCTCATACACTAGCTAGTGCCATAACATAAGTCGCTCCATTTGAGTGTTACGGAATTTTCCAACCTGCTAGTTTAAATCAAAATTTAGGCCCATTTCATTTTCTTAATAATGTTACCGTTCACTGGTGAAATTGGGGATGGATTAAGGGCACATGATTACTATTTTAACTGTTAAGTGTATCGCTTTTGTATATTTTTAAATAACTGTTGCGGATCCAATTATCCGGATCAAATCAATGGCAGAGCAGCAAGATCAAAGCGGAAATATATGATACTCGTCTACTATTAGTACTAATTTACTATTGTAGCCCACAAGTCCGGTGAACATGGAAGCAGAGAAGTTGTCTACATTTTTTTTCATTTTATAAATTTTACTAGCAAATGTCATGAAAGTACTAAACTTTATTAAACTTGAAGATTTAATAACTATTAAAAATCAAGCAGTCAGGAAAAAAAATGTTTGATGAACAGAGTGAGGGTACTGCAAAAATCTCAGATTGCAACAA